CTCATTTTTGTATGTCAACATAATGACATGGTTCTCTTACTTCTACATGGCGTCCACATGAGCCGGAAGTATAACAATGTTTATTACACGTCATTGTAACTAACTAGGCCTAAAAGCTGGTTTGGTGAGCATTGATTAGCATGTATTAAATGGTACCAAAGGAGCTTAAAATGTTGTTATCATGTTGTACACTCTTATCAAATAGTGCATGTCAAATATACCCAAAACTTCTTGAAAAATAAGGGATACTAAGTGGTCTGACTTTTAACATATAGTTTTTTTTTTTTTTTTTGAATGGAACTTGTAAATATAGTTGAATAGACAATATAAATAAATAAATTATTTCTTTTAATATCTTAAATTATTAAAAGAGATGATCTAATGTAGTACTAGAATAAACGCAAATCCTAAATTCAAATTTCTCTGTCACCTATTAAAAAAATTTCGCATCAAGTAGTTGCCACTAAATAATATGAAATGCTAAAGATGAAATCTAAAGTAAAATTGAGCCCCTGTTTGAGACAATTCTTTAAAATTATGTTTTTTTTTTCAAATTCATTTTTTAATCATACATTCTCTCAATAATACAATTTTGTTCGTAAATTCAAACTTTTTCTCTATTTTTTAATCATAGATGTAAAAAAAAAAAATTAAAAATCAATTTTTTCAAAATATGTTCTTAAAATAGGTTCAAACCGTTTGGGAATTTTAACGTGGTTCAAGTAACGTTATATGGGGGGAAATTATAAAAACTCAGGTGCTTAAAGTTTGGAATTCAAAAATCAAGGACCAAATTTCAATCTTAAAAAATNATTTTGAATAGTAAGACCAATAAGAAAGTAGGTAAAAATCCTATCAATACCTAAAATAGCTCAATTATCCATCTCAATTTCAACATCAGAACATAGAATTGCAATTGAGAAACCTAACAGCCACACTATTGGATGCCTGATGTGCCTACCTCCGAATAAAGATGTTGACTTGAAATGTACACTAATTTCTTATTTTAGAAAAGGAGAGCATTCCCTTTACCAACATTTGAATTTGATAAATGATCTAAACCCTTAAATTTAAAATAATCGAACGGTCTCCATCAATCATACGAAAACCTTCTAAAATTTATGTCTCCATATCCAAACATACCCTAATTACCTTTTCAAAATCACCAATTACCTTCCAAGAACCTTTTTTTTTTCAAAAGAAGAAGAATCACTATCGTCGGATTCTTTTCTCAATCTCATAGATTTCACCACCTCTCCTATCCAACCACCTGTGGTTGGCATCTGATCGATTTGATTTCACAAGTGTACAAATCGTGACAAATGATAAAGTAAATTTTGAGTCTAAATATCCTACAAATATGGACTGAAATGGTGTTTGGTGAAGGTTAAAATTTGATTTTTAGTAGATTGTGATAGAAGTTTTTGAAATGTATGGTTGAAAAGTTAAGAGACCCATGGAAGATGTGGTTAATATTGACTGTTTGACTTTGACTTAAATTAAAATCAAATTTTAATTCGGACCAAACATGAGCTAAGTATTTACTACTAATTTTATCTTAATTTAGCTTCAAATGGCATCACTATTACTAGATTGAATACAGTATTTATACCTAGGTCATCTTCCAATTATTCTCCATAATATTTTCATTTATTCAGACAACAAACATAGGATTTTCCTTATATGGAGTGGGTCAGGCTGAAACTGGGCTGAGGACAAACAAATGCAACTTAAGCCCATTTTCAAATTAGTCACAGGGAAAAAATCAAATTTAAGGTGTATTCTTTATCTCAATTCAAAAATAAGGTAAATAGTTTAAAAATTCAAAAATCAGGCATTTATTTAATTAATTAAATAAATGCCTGATTTTTGAATTTTTAAACTATTTACCTTATTTTTGAATTGAGATAAAGAATACACCTTAAATTTGATTTTTTCCCTGTGACTAATTTGAAAATGGGCTTAAGTTGCATTTGTTTGTCCTCAGCCCAGTTTCAGCCTGACCCACTCCATATAAGGAAAATCCTATGTTTGTTGTCTGAATAAATGAAAATATTATGGAGAATAATTGGAAGATGACCTAGGTATAAATACTGTATTCAATCTAGTAATAGTGATGCCATTTGAAGCTAAATTAAGATAAAATTAGTAGTAAATACTTAGCTCATGTTTGGTCCGAATTAAAATTTGATTTTAATTTAAGTCAAAGTCAAACAGTCAATATTAACCACATCTTCCATGGGTCTCTTAACTTTTCAACCATACATTTCAAAAACTTCTATCACAATCTACTAAAAATCAAATTTTAACCTTCACCAAACACCATTTCAGTCCATATTTGTAGGATATTTAGACTCAAAATTTACTTTATCATTTGTCACGATTTGTACACTTGTGAAATCAAATCGATCAGATGCCAACCACAGGTGGTTGGATAGGAGAGGTGGTGAAATCTATGAGATTGAGAAAAGAATCCGACGATAGTGATTCTTCTTCTTTTGAAAAAAAAAAGGTTCTTGGAAGGTAATTGGTGATTTTGAAAAGGTAATTAGGGTATGTTTGGATATGGAGACATAAATTTTAGAAGGTTTTCGTATGATTGATGGAGACCGTTCGATTATTTTAAATTTAAGGGTTTAGATCATTTATCAAATTCAAATGTTGGTAAAGGGAATGCTCTCCTTTTCTAAAATAAGAAATTAGTGTACATTTCAAGTCAACATCTTTATTCGGAGGTAGGCACATCAGGCATCCAATAGTGTGGCTGTTAGGTTTCTCAATTGCAATTCTATGTTCTGATGTTGAAATTGAGATGGATAATTGAGCTATTTTAGGTATTGATAGGATTTTTACCTACTTTCTTATTGGTCTTACTATTCAAAATTATTTTAATATTTTGTTTGAGTCCCATTTTCTATAAATTCATTTTTTTAAGCACGTACATTTAAATTTTTCGTACTTTTTAATCACACATTTTTCAAAATATCACCATTGCAGACTCATTTTTCCCCAAAAATGGAGCTCAAATGAGGGTTAAATGGAAACCTCAATTGTCAAATATTTGATAATTGTAATATTATTTAGTATTAGTTAGAATTGAACGTATGTTACATGTTATTCTGAATTATTTTATAACGACCGTAAAAGTAATATTTAATATTAATTTGTTGGGAGGATTTAATGAGACTCAATTGAACTAAAGAAAACAAAATTTATGACAGACATTTATTCCCAAAACTCAATTTTTATGATTCAATTTTTTTTTAATGATGAAATATTAAAAATGAGCAACATTTTTATACTACATTTAGTATATAAGAATTAATTGTTAATTCACAAATTTTAACGTCCATTATAATTTCAAGATACATGAATAGAAATAAATTCATAATATAATAACTCTAGATTCATGTAACAATCTTGCTAAAGGGTACATATTGGTTTACCCGGACCACCCCCTCCCTCAAATGGGAGGGTCGGGTCCATGCATTTATTGGATGTGGGACCCCGATCCCCATGTAAGGGAGGAAGTAGGATCAAATAAATCAAAGTGTATCCCAAAGGGTACAAATAACATAATTCTTCATGTAAATCAAGATTCATTGAGTCTAGGTTAACGTGAATGTTAATTAATTGAAAGTAACAACACGAAATTCATGTATGACAAGAATTTTGTAGTATTTATTACTTATTGAAAAACGAAAGCGAGTTATTATTAAATAATTGAATTGTAGTAAGGTTAATATCGTCCAAAACATAATTCTTGTGTGATATTTAATATATTATAGATAAGAAACGTGTAGAAGTTTTGTGCCTAATTTTCTCTATACAGTAAATCAACGTGAAATTGTCTCATAAATTATTTATTCCTAAATGAGTAGATTCACACACGTTGACTTTTAATACCTACAAGAAAAGACAAACACGATTTCAGTTTAAAAAATCTCCAGTTCCAACGAAGTTCGTGCGACTTTTGACTCGGCCACCGTATATTCCTCAATTTGTCCGCATCCGCGTGACACCGCCAACTGGCAAACAATCCCTTGTCCTCTGTAAAAGCGCACGCTCAAAATCGGCTATATATATACACTGTTTCATATCTACTGTTACAATTTACCTATTTCACTTTACCCCCCTTTTCTTTTTGGCATTTTCATTTTATTGCACTAATTGTTAGATTCATTCCAGTTTAGCAGGTAAACTTAATTTTTATTTAAATTTAATTATTCAGTCCATAATTGTTATCGAAAATTTAGAAAATTCATAATTTGGCCAACATAATCAATAATTGAACTTTTATATTTCATCAACACATTTCTTCGAGGAACGGTAAATTTTGTTACCGAATATTACACTTTCGTATTGGAAAGATGAGTCTTGATGGTGTCGAATAGCTTTTGTTTTCAATGTACTATGCCGAATGGTTAAATTGAAACAAAATTATGAGTTGATGGATTAACTTGAAATGAAAATATGAAATTGATGACCAAATTGAAATAATTTAAAAATTGAGTGACTAATTGGAAACAAACTTATAAGTAAGTTGACCTCCAGTAAATTTGTTTAAACTCTGCCACTTTGGATTCCTTATTCTGTCCGCATATTGTTACTTTGCCACGTGTCATACTAAAACGGATATCGCCGACCGCCAATTTTGGCAATTTGTATTTATTTATTTCCATTAAACCCCTTTTGCTTTTTGGCTTTCTTTGAATTTATTCCCTAGTTTTTGGTGCCTTCACGAATTTTGAGGCGCATGTTATCTTCAGATCAATCAAAATTTTCGTTAGTGAGATATTTTCTAAGCTTTATTACTAAACATATCCATTTGAAATTACATTTCTGAAAGTTTTAGGGATTTAACTTTTGTTTAACTGAGTGAGTGATTTGTTTTCAGTATACGAACTTCAGAGAATCGGTTAAAACTTGATTGATCGGTCGATCCATCTATCGGTCGATCATCAAGAGTTTGAGAAGTGTTTTGGTGAGCAAAATTAGCGATGTCAGGACCATTGGATCGATTTGCAATGCCATGTAAGTTAACTTTTCTTGTTTCAAACGATTTTTTGTTGTTCTTCAGCTGCATTTATGGTTAATTTATCGTAACTGATGTTTGGTACTTTCAAGATCTAGGGTTTATTCTTGTTTCGATCAGCTTTTTATTGTTTTCCAGCTGCATTTATGGTTAATTCATCGTAATTGTAATTGTTCTGACTGTTTCAAGAACTAGGAAATATTAGTAAACCGGTGGCCTGATATTGTTAAACCGACATGTGCGCCAAAATGCACCTTGCTGTTGATAAGTCTGGATTGTGCAATCTTCTGTGAAATTCTCACAAAGCTACTGCTGCTGTGTCAGTTGAATTTATTGTCATTAAGAAAAAAAGTGTGCTATTTGTTTTATATTTTCATTAATTTCAAAACCATTTTCCAGTTCATACGTATAGAAATTTTTTAAAAGAATGCCAGCTCAAATAAAAGTTAAGTATCAGTACAAAAATTCGAAGAAAGCATTTAATGGAGATTCCTAACAGTTAATCCTGTATTTCGAAACATGCTTAAATTATGTGAAAAATATTTTTCTTTTCCAAGCCAATTGAGCACATAGATTAAAAGCTTCAGTTGGCAACCAATGTCAGACTTCTCTGGTGACTGAAGCTAACTGGTTATATATAGAGGAAATTTTACTGTTAAATCATCTCGAGCATAAAAAAGTAGTCAATGCTGAGGCAAGCAGGAGTATCATACGTGGTGGATTTCTTCTCTCAAAATGATTTTTCTTATATTTGTACTTTTTTTCATGGAACAGGCTTTGAGGGGTCATCTGGCAATGACGAGAGAAGAGAAAGAAAATCTGATTTTGAGAATTCTGAGGATGAAAGAAGGACGAGAATTGGTTCCCTAAAAAAGAAAGCACTGAATGCTTCTTCAAAGTTCAAGCATTCTCTCAAAAAGAAGAAGAGCATTAGAAGAAAGAGCGATGTTCGTCGCAGCTCTGTTTCAATTGAGGATATCCGGGATGCTGAGGAGCTGCAAGCTGTTAAGGCATTTCATCGAGCCTTGATGTTGGATGAGTTGCTGCCTGACAAGTTTGATGATTATCATATGATGTTGAGGTTATTATACTACACTTTTGCTACTTTTAGTTAATTGCTCGCATGTATGGATGGAAATATAAAATGCATCATGGATTATCATATGGATGTTTTGATATTTGCCCTCATTACTTTGTAGGTAACTAGAAATCCCTTCCTCCTTTAGTGGGACAATTTATGATTGAGCTGCATCACTTTACACTTTTTCTAATATTTTAGTCGGTGGTTGGGCTGTTAAGGATTGAGGGGTTAGTCTTTCCGGATAAGTTATTTTCCTGTTTCTTGCGAACTTTTTAGTACATAGTTGGAAGGTTAGAAGGCAAACTTACTCACATGACGCTTAAATTATCATCATATCAGAATATGATAAAGCATGCAAGCATGGTTTTGTTATCAGTAAGACAGGAAATTCTCTAGTTCTGTATTTTTGTTTCTCTTCTGAATCAGCAACTATTCAGACTTTTGTAGAAGTATTGAAAAAATATGCTTGCAGGTTTTTGAAAGCAAGGAAATTTGATATTGAAAAAACAAAACGGATGTGGGCTGATATGATCCAATGGAGGAAAGATTTTGGTACTGACACAATTGCAGAGGTAAAACCTAATAATTTTCCCATGTGTAACTTGGGCAAAACCACCTGATTATCTTCTGCTTGTATTCTTCACTATTCCAGTTTTAGCTTTAGTCATGTTTCCTTTATAAATTCCTCTCTTCCACCAGGATTTTCAATTCCAAGAGATGAGTGAAGTTTTGAAGTATTACCCCCATGGTTATCATGGAGTCGATAAAGAGGGAAGGCCTGTGTACATTGAAAGACTAGGGAAAGTTGACCCCAACAAACTTATGCAAGTTACCACCATTGACCGTTATGTTAAATACCACGTGAAAGAGTTTGAGAGAAGTTTTGTTGTTAAGTTCCCGGCTTGTACTATAGCTGCCAAAAGGCACATTGATTCAAGCACAACAATTTTAGATGTTCATGGTGTGGTATGCAATATGCTGCTCAACTTTCATTTATTTAATTTTCCCGCTTGTGGCAAATACATCTTATATCAATCGGAGTGAAGATTATGTTTTATTGAGTTGTGCATTTTTTTTATTTATTTATTTTTTTCACTTCAGGGCTTGAAAAACTTTACTAAGGGTGCTCGGGAACTCATTACACAACTACAGAAGATTGATAGCGATAATTATCCTGAAGTAACATTTTGATCTTTTACTTTATCAGAGCTATTAGGTTTTGTGTAGTCTTGGTAGTAATATATTGTGTCCTTCAAATGTTGCAGACACTTCATCAAATGTTTATCATCAATGCTGGTCCAGGCTTTAGGCTACTGTGGAATACTGTAAAGAGTTTCCTTGATCCCAGGACCACCACTAAGATACACGTATGTTGCTATTTCTTCCTTTTTCCATCTGGAAGCGTTATTTTTCTCATTTGAATGGCTGACTTCAACTGATAAGTCTATCTTTTTTCTGGAATATCTCACAGGTTCTTGGAAACAAATACCAGAACAAGTTGCTTGAAATAATAGATGCCAGGTGCAAAACAGTGGAAACCATTGTTGCCACTTGCAATGACCATTGAAATTTATTTGGAGATTCTGAAATAAATTCTGTGGGTTTGTGCAGTGAGTTACCAGAATTCTTGGGTGGAACGTGTACCTGTGCAGACCAAGGGGGTTGCCTTCGGTCAGATAAAGGGCCATGGAAAAATCCAGAGATACTAAAGGTCCATACTAGCATGGGAACTATTAAATTGATCTACATTGATAAATGTATAAATATTTGCGTTATAATTTTGTTCTTGTTAAAAAGAATCAACGGCTTGAAATCATGTTGCAGATGGTGCTCAATGGTGAAGCACGACGTGCCAGGCAGGTTGTTAAAATTCTTAAGAGGGAAGGAGAGATAGTTTATGCTAAGTCCCACTACTCGATAGTATAGACTCTGTCTTTTGTACATATGATTAGGCACAACTACTCCACAATATTTCAGTTCTATGTGAGATTTTGTTTTTATTTGGTTGTTGAAGCAGGTAAGAGGCAGTGACACCTCAACTGCTGAATCTGGTTCTGAAGCTGAAGATATTGCTTCACCAAAAGCTATTAGGAGTTACTCGCACCTCCGGTTGACTCCTGTTCGTGAGGAGGTATGGTTAATCCTTAGAACTTCAAGATTAGATGTTTTAATTATCTGCAGTTGAAAATAATATTTTGTACAAGTTTAATTGAAACCTCCCTTATTTAGTGTTAAGTCGGGTGGTAGCTTGTGCAAATGTTTAATTTGGTGCTTGTAGGTCAGTTAGTATTTGCTTAATTGCAACGTCAGTGCAAATTATCATTGCTTGATATCATCTCTTTGATTAGTTTAAAAGCATTTGCATATACCCTTAAAAGGTGTCCAGTTTCCTGGAATTCAAATTGAGATCAAATAATTTTTCCTATAAATCCAATTTTCCTTACTTAAGAAAGGGATAACTTCACCATATAGTGTTAAGCACAGCATAGAAATTGTTCACTTTCTCAATCCCTCACAAATATTAATATGGAGGATCAACCTTCCTCTACTGATTATTTCAAGCACTTGTTTCTCAGGCTAAAGCTCTTGGAACCTCAAGCTTAGTTTGTAACTTATCAGGATATGATGAGTATGTTCCTATGGTTGACAAGGTTGTTGATTCTGGATGGAAGAAGCAGGCACCGCTTCCAAAACCTTCTATTTCTAAAGGTTAGTTACATCAGAAGTTCTACTTTTGTAGCTGTCTCCATACTTAATATCTGAATCAGCCTATGATCTTCTCATGCTCACTTGTTCATCTGTTTTATTAGTTATTAGTTATTCTTTCTGAATATTTCTCAGCTGAAGGTGTTACATAAGTCTCCTCCCCTCGCGCATCCACATCATTGGTTCATTTGATCAACAAAGTGATGCTTCACCATATTTATTCCCTTTTTTTGCATCTAAGTGTATTATTGTCTCTTGAAGACTCATACAACTTGCCTAGTTTGTCATTGATCATGGCAATAGGAAGATATTCTCTCTTGTTTTCTCTGTATCTGCTTAGAACTGCAGGTTTAATTTTCCTTTCATTTTATCTGTTCACTTGCGTGTTCTTTTATTTTAGATGACTTTTGGATTAGTTTTTTACCTATCTGCCGTATCAGTATAACTCGGGAACATGACCTAGAATGCTTTGTTGAAGCTATCCCTTTTTCTGTGTTTATCTGTTTTAGTGTTAAACCTTGACCTACTTCATTCTGTTTATCTGTTTCCTAAAATTTTAACACAGATATGCTTCTTCCACCCGATTCTCAAGAAGTGCCAAAAAGACTTCATGCTCAACTTTTGGCAGTTATCATGGCATTCTTCACGACCCTTTTTGTGTTCTTCCATTCAATGTCATGCCGTGTCACCAAGAAACTTCCGAATGCATCATCACATCCTGAGGAAAATATTCAGAAGTCGGCATCTAACATGATCCCTGAAGAAGAATTTCGACCCCCTTCACCACCTCCAGAATTGACCGAGGTGGAACTTCTATCTTCTGTCTTGAAGAAGCTGGGTGAACTTGAAGAGAAGGTGAATACTCTTCAAGAAAAGCCATTGGAAATGCCCCATGAAAAAGAAGAACTGCTGAATGCTGCTGTTTACCGAGTTGATGCCCTTGAAGCAGACTTAATTGCAACCAAAAAGGTTTGTATGTGCCATATTTTCTGGCAGATTCTTTGGTACAATTTTTTCCTCATCACTTGGGATATTAGCTATAATTGTTTTAGGTTCTCCCACTATATGCAAAGGGCTGCACCTAACTGGTCTGGCTATTTTGAATCCACTAAAAGAAACTAACAAAATAGATGCATTACATGCATGTTTGGCTAAGTTTAAAAAGTTTACTTGTAAGTTGTTAGTGTACTTAATTATAAGTAGATTTTAAAATAAATAATTTTTTATTGTTCGAGATGGGAAATGAGATACCTTTTTTGACACAAGGGTAAGAATTAATTTCAAAATCAGTATATATATATATATATATTTTTTTTTTTTTT